TTTTGTGTTGTACCCTTTATTAAAGGGTTTGCGCGTTTGTATGTGAAATTTCAAATTTGCTTTATTAAGTGTGCCTAATGAAAGGGTGTTACCCACCTCTTTAGCTGTTTACAGTAAAAGATTAATATTGTTATGAGCTGTTGTTTAAAATGCACTGGAATAAGTAGTCTCCACGGCATACTAGGGGTAAAGACTTCTGCTGCATGCAGGTTCTGTTGTAATATAAATGCTAGCACAGCAACGATGACACATTACGTTAGAGCAGATGAACCAGTCCTTAAATACATTATTTCTTTCTTATGAATTCAGTTGTCATCAGAGCTCTGCAGACCTGCTGCCTGACCGTCACGCCGTATGCTGTCTGTATTCAGAGGTGAGTGTCTGTGGTGTTTTTTCATGAACATGATTGATTGCAGACTCAGCGATCAATCGATCGCTCTTGATTGATTGATCGATCAATCCACCAATCAATCAATCATCCTTCTGACACCATTTTAAAGGAAAATTACTATTAAAACAAAGGTGTTTAATTCACCGAGGACTGAAGTACAGCTGATGTTGCACGAGTTGCTTTATTTAAACGCAGATATTGTTTTGAGGATTTTTACAGATGACACCTAATTATTTGTCATTAACGTTCACATACTTTCTCTAATTTGTGTTTTGTTCTGTTTGCTGTTCTGTCTTCTCTTTTCCTCTCGATGCCTAGCCAGTCATAGCAGATGCCTCTCCTGGTTCTGTGAGAGGCCGTTTGCTCTAAAAGAGGAATTATTCTCGCACCACACTTTCACATCAAGCTAGTTTGGTTGTTGGGATTTTCTCTCTAATATTGAAGGATATTCATCATACAGTCTGGAGACTGGAGACAACTGTTAGAGTCAGCTGGTGAAAATAAAATGTAATTGAACTATATATATCGACATTCAAACTGGGTAAGATTATTTAATTCCAATTTACATTAAATTAAATTGACACTTAACCTTTCCTTTAAAACTCCAAATACCTCTCAGCAGGTAAAAGACTGAACTGAGGATTCTTGCAGGAATAATGAACCTAATACAGCACCAGTGTTATTTTACTTGCAGCCAAACTCTGCTGTAGTGCCAGCATAGATGGAGTCCTTCACCTGTGCAATAAACTGCTGTCATACAAGCTATGATTTTAACTACATATTTAAATGTAATTTATTATATTTCACTTAATCTCACTTTATTAGGTCCTACAACAGAGTGCAGAGTCACACTGTCCCTCTGTCATTTTGAGTCAATTTCTCCCCACCGACTTAATATTGTTTTTCAGCTTTTTGTATAGTGTTTTTTTAGCCACACGGTAAAGTCCTCGAGGCACTCAATCTTGTTTGTGCAGTTGTATTAGCTGGGACTATTTACTGAGTTAATGCTTGCCATGTGTTCTAATTTTAAAATATTACATGTCATCATTTTAAAATATTACATATCAAAGGGCACTCTGCCACTCATCCTGAAGCAGAGACATCAGCACACACAAGTATCCTTATGCTCTGTCAGTCACCATAAGTGCTGCTTTTCTGGAGCCAGATGATATATTGAAAGTCCAAAAAGAAATGTTCGATTTCACTGCAAAAATGATGGCATTGTATTAAATGTCTTTTACTCCCCCAAATATTTGTCTTTTCAAATAACATAAGAATTTATGTTTATATTTTTGCTATAATGCTCACTGTAATTTATTCTTGGTGCCTCTGAGAACTTCAGTCGCTAGTCTTATATTATGTCATTTTTGTCATAAACTAGGACCAAGTTTCAGTTTTCCAGCAAAGCAAACAAAAAAAAAAAACCACAACCACAACAAAAAACCCTTTAAATATAATACTTTAATAGTATGTAAAAAAATAAATAAATTATATTATACTGATTTAGAATTTTGAAAATTAAAAAAACATTATGTTAAAAAATGTAGTAAAAATATTGGCACAGTTAAAAATGACAAACAGATCATATGATAAATTATTTTACAATTATTTTTGTTTTTATGCATTTATATAGTTATGAACTTGGAAGATTTGGGTTTAATGTTGAATTTTTGGTATAATTCATTTGCCAAAAAATGACAAAACAAAATAAATGAAGTTTAATATATTGACTGGAAGTATTAGAGCTATTTTTGCAGGTTTTAGACAGACATTAGCACAACAATTATGAAGTGAAAATCTGATATTGTGACAGCCCTAATCTAGACAGAAAAAGCAGTGATGCTGTGAATCACTTCTTTTGACAACCAGGAGAGAAGCTGGAGTTCAAAGAAGGGAACACAGCTGGCATCAAGAGGAGCACAAACCCTCAAACTAATGAGTACACCACAACACAAACCACAATGTTCAGCTAAACAAGCACGTTGTAAATTAAGAAAGTACAATTTACAGTTATCAGATATCAATTTTTTACACTAATCAGAGCATGCCTAAACATGATGAGGAATGACATCAGGACAACCCTAAGCCTGGTAATGTAGAACAACAAATATGGTTTGAAGTGCATGTGTTTGCTGCCCAGATCCCATCAGTCTATTATACAAAATCAGCTCTAAAAATCATTGTGTTTTCATGGTTATGTTTAGGAAAGTCACACACATGATCAGGGAAAATTATTGCTTAGTTAAAGATTGCAAATAAGTCAATTTCTTTTTAGTTTGACAGAGCATGTTTACATTTTCAGTATTTATGCAAATCTTGGTCTAACCTTGACCATTCCGACATGCAAGGGCACACAACACAAATCTTCATCGCTCCAGCTCGTGACCTCTACTGTGTCATTCCTGTACGAAACAAAAACATGTAACAATCATATCTCTTTAGTGCATATAGCTCATATAATTGCCATTTTTATGAGTTCGGTCAGGTTTGGGTGGCAAGAAGGTTTCTGGTTTGAACCCCAGCTGAGGTCTTTCTGTGTGAGGTTTGCACGTGTCTGGGAGCCCAGGTGGTTTTTATTCCCCCCACTGTTCAAAGACAACATGTTAGGGTGGCTGCTGTTGAAATTTTTAGAGGATACAATTGTATAAAATACTATAAGAATTTATGGTTACAAGTGCTTTGAGTTGTCAGGAGGACTTGAAAGCTCTACATAAATGCCATTCCATTAATCAGAATAAGAGTATAATGTGAAATTACCCAAACGCTGTCAGGAAGATGGTGTACAGAGAACCCTTTGTTCCCAATCTTAAAACCCTAGAACAAGGAACCATTAAGTTCAAAGAAAGTCATGAAATTAAGAAATCATGAAAATGTAAACATTTAAGGCAGCATTTTAATGTTTTTAGATCAAAGACCTTAATTTTTCTCTCTCTGTTTTTTTTTTTTTTTTAGATTTTTAAGTATTTTTATTACATACCACAACAACTGTTTGCTTATAATAATTTAGTTTTAGGTCAACTCAAACACAACTTTGTTTTTCACATCATTATCTTTTGTAGTCACTGAAAAGCAGTGCCTCACTGTAATCACAGTCCTTTCAGCAATCACTGTAAAATAACAATAGCATCTTAAATGAATTCACTCTTGGTAACACAGCCAGAAATTCACTTTATAAAGCTTGGTATTTTACAAAGAGAGCATAAAACATTTTCTGTTTCATTAACTCAGAGAGAAAACATCGCAGAAATTCAAAGCTAAAAAGTAAAAAAATAATTTTATACCTGATGACCTGCCTCTTGCCCTATGACAACTGTGATTGTCTCCAGCACCCCAGTGACCCTGA